ATCAAGTTGAAATTGTAAAGCTCGATCGCTATTGTTTCTCACTTAAATATAATATTAGGATACCTTCTGTTTTCAAAAACAAAATGCTAAATAAAATTATTTGTCCTAATTACATGAAGAGTTTCCATACAAATTCGAATTAAAATATCAAACATGTCAACAATTCTATTATTTTATAGTTAGGAGGAAGAATTCTATTTCATATATAAACCACATGCAATTTTATTCTTTTTTCAAAAGAATAATAAATAGAAATCAGACTGTCAACGATTGCTGTCAAATAGCTAATAGAAATCTATACCTTAGCATTATGGTTCTCTCTTACCTCGCCATGGAATATTGACTTTGGTTAATAAATTATCTGACTGCATTCTAGCATTAGCAGCAGATGGCTGAACATTTCCAAATTTGTTAGAGATATCTTCATCTAATAAACAAAACGTACATTAGATATATACATTCTAATGCTCATGCAAGACTTTTCATCTAAACTCACCAGGTTCAGCATGTTGTGTTGTTTCAAGACCACTGAACCATGATACTGAATTGAACCGTACAGACTGTGTGTAACCATTCCGAACGTTCTCGATCGCTATATTTTCGAACTGTATGTCATCAGCTAAAATCAATAATATAGACAAACATATTTTTTACAGTCGGATCTTGATAGAATAATTTATGTTCAAAAAACTTACATGGCAAAGCTCTTTGTATATACTCGTCATCATCAGTCATATCTCGATTTGAGTTATCAAGATATTGATCTTCACTGTAATTTACAGTGTCATCATCGTCGAATGACTCTTCGTCACGGAGTCTGTCTATATTATTCATTGTGTGTGCACGTCGTATTAATCTGAAAATAAAAGGTTGCATTAAATGTCGAAGTACTACCCATTCAAACTTGTATAGGCCTAGCATTGTTTCCATTTAGGCGAATATAACTTATGCAAAAATAAAAGCAGATAATCGTTCATTATTATCTATTATGTTTTTATGAAGTCGGCACAAAATAATGATATAAACATATAGCCAATCAAATCAATTTTAATGATTATAACTGATTTGAGTTAGTACACGTTCATATCAGTTATCTAAACTATTCATTAATTTTGTATGTTCTCGATCGAAAGAAATCTGCAAAGTTCTACAATCCATAGTACCTATTCAAAGGAATGTCGGGAGGTCGACAGGAATCAGGTGAGTGGCTGATTGAGTCTGTCGACCGAATGAACATTTTTTTCTGAAGCTGGTTGGGTTTTCTAAAGGAGAGGGAGGAGATTCAAGAACATTCTTTGAAATCGGTAAACAGAAAAAGTGAAAATTTGTCAAGATTGAAGGGTTTCTAGCAGATTCCTACCGCTCGGAACACCTCTGCCTATTGATGAAAACATTCAAGGATTCATTTGAATCATTGACTGTGATGTCGATCGAATGCTTTGCATTTTATTCTGGAAAACTATTCGCAAGCACGAAAGTCTTCAAGG